TGGGTAAGATTAAGAGCATTGGCTGCTTTTGCAGAGGACCTGCTCTGGTCCCCAGCGCCCACACTGGAGGCTCACGACACTTCGTACCTCCAGTTCCAGGGAATCTGACACCTGACCTCCCTTGGCACCAGGCACATAGGTAGGTGGTACACATTCACGTATACACGCAGGCACTCGCACGTACACATTAAGTAAATAAATCTTAACCAAAACAGGAGAGCTCTTCAGATGGAATGGGCTGTATATCGAAGCTCAGAAAAAGATCCGAGAAGTAAAGGGTTAGAAGTTCTGGAACAATAGAGAGGGAGGAGGGATGAGCAAAGGAGCCAAGACCATGCTAGAGAAACCCACAGAAACAGCTGACCTGACCTAGTGAGAGCACAGAGACCCTAGTCATAACGCTGGGGAACCAGCATTGGACTGAACCAAGCCCTCTGAATGTAGGTGCCAGCTAGGAGGCCAAGGCAGTCTATGGGACCTCTAACAGTGGAGCCAGTGTTTATTCCGAGTGCACAAATGGACTTTGGGAGCCCATTCCCTATGGAGGGATACTATTGCAGCCCAGATACACGGAAGAGGGCCTAGGCCCTACTCCAAATGATGTGACAGACTTCGATGATCCACCGTGGAAGGCCTCACTGTCCTTGGGGAGGGGGAGCATGGGAGGATAGAAGGGAGAGGGGATGGGGAGATTGGTATGTAAAATAAGATTGTTTCTAAAAATTAAAAAGTGTAAAATATAAAAGCAAAAAAAATGTCCTGGAACAGCAGAACTCACTGGATAAATACCATACATTTAATTGTCTAAACCCAATCAAGCACAGTTGGCACAATAGAGAGGGTACCAGTGTAAGTAGAATTATTCCTCCATGTAAGCGTTTCTGGCACTCGGGAGTTACAGAATACTGCGTGTTACACAGCTCAAATGGAAAGGTATCCTGGAGCTCGGGAGCCAAGGACTACAAGTTGTACTAAGCTTAGCAGCTTTCAGCCTTGCCTCAGGGAAAGGCTTCCCCAATGTTTCAGATCTGCTCCGACAGGAGAGGTTCTCCAAGCTGGAAATGTTTGCCCATTGTAGCAGTTTTGCTTGGCAGGAGGTTTCTCAGGAGAAGTTGCTACAGTTCAGCTCTGCTCTGCTCTGCCAAGGGAAGGTTTCCCCTGCAAGTGTTACAGCCCTGCTCACTCTGCTCTGCTTAGGGTCACCTCTGCTCCACTGCTGCCACAAAAGAAGATCTTCACCCAAAGTTCATCGAAGGGGTTTATTGGGAGGGAAGAATCCAGAAGAGTGTCTCCTTCTGCCACAGCCGGGTAGCTCCGCACAGACACAAGCTGAACAGACACAGGGTTTATTTAGGGCTTCCAGGGTGGAGATTGGTCAGATTTTAGTGCTGAGCTCAGATTGGCTAGAGCTCTGCTCAGGGATTGGTTAGTTTTCTGCACAGGATTAGGGCCAGATTTGACTCTGGTTTTAGGGCCAAAGTGTGTTTCTTTTTCTGGTCCCTTTTAGCCTTTTGGCTGCAATTTTAGGGCCAGGGTGCATTTCTTTCGCTGACTCTGATTCCAGGGACAAAGTGTGTTCCTTTGGCACTGGTTTCAGGGTCAGGGTACATTTCTTTAGTTCTGGTTGCAGGGCCAAAGTGTGTTTCTTTGCCTCTGCTCAGCGTGTGTTTCTTTGGCTGGTCCCTTTTCCCTACACTCCACCCAAAGAGGGCGGGATGCTAAATGCCCCTCATCATTTTGTCTCAGTCCCCACATCATTAATGAGCATCTTTGACCGTGTCTAATCCCAGGTGCCTTCCCAGGGCATTTTCCAAGGTACCCTTTACTGTACACAGTGTTTTGTCTTACATGCTGACTGATTCCTACTATATATTTATTACTTTGGACTGTCCTACATTACTGCTCAGCTAACACAGATTGTAGAGGCTCCCTCTGTTTGACCTCAGTGTATGAAAACCACAGAGAGATGAGGTCGTCCTGAAAAGGATGTGTAGTGATGGGAGAAATAGTATCGAGCGAGGTCCAAAACACGGTCAGTGTCTGAGAGGAAAATCAAAGAAAGGGACCAGTGAGAAGGAAGGGCTATGAAGAGGCCCAAGGGAGGAGCCCAGGGAGGCAGGTGACAGTCCTCCCTCCACACACAGAGGAAAGTCCCAAGCGTAAGGGCAGCCTTGGCTAAATAGCAACTTTGAGACTAGCCTGACCTGCGAAAGAATCTGCCTTTAAAAAAAAATGGGGTGTGTGTGTGTGTGTCTGTCTGTCTGTCTGTCTGTCCCTCTCTCTCCCTCCCTCTCGCTCACCCCCTCCATCTTTCCTCTTCCTGTGCGTGGATAAAATGTGATCAGTCAGCATTCTGCCCCTCCTGTCACTGTGGACTCTAGCCCTCTGGAACTATAAACTGAAACCCTTCCTTGCTTAAGTGTGTTTTGCCGTAGTATTTTGTCACAGCCACAGAAAAGGAGCTGATACAAAGGTGACCTTGATAGGGTCACCTTCAGACTGCCTGGCTTAGTTTTCTGGAGCTGCCCTAACAAAGCACCACTGATTGGATGCCTTAAACTACAAAATTACCCGTTTTCACAGTTCAAGAAACAAGACATCAGAGGTCAAAGTCAGTTGGTTCAGTTTCGTCTGAGATCTCTTCTCTTGACTGGTAAATGATTTCAAGTCTCTTTATCTTTCCAGTCCTGCATCTTCACAAGTCCGGTCTGGTGTGGTGTACATTACACTGGTAAATTGCCATGTGCTCTTTGAGCTCTCTAAGCAACTGGCTCTGGAAGAATTGCCCCTCCCCTACATTTCAGACCCAAGAATGTTTGTCTCAAAGTGTCCTCTAAGACCCCCTCATCTGGGGGTGGGCTGGCCCCACAATCCTTGAGGACAACTGGAGGGTGAACAGCTTTAAGTATACGGTACTCTCCTGGAGTAGGGAAGGTGGGGGAAACCCCATCTCTGCAGACTGCCTCAACTGCACTGTGTTCCTACTGCATGGTGGAAGCCCACAGCTGATGATCTAACCCTTTTCCATCAAGCCACTCTACTCAGCTCTGCTGGATGGTCTCAGTTCTGATTCGACAATGCTTTGATCTCTGGCTACTGTCTCTGTCTGCTATTTGGTATGTATCCTTTTTCTTTTCTTTTTTTTTTTTTTTGCTTGCAACTTGATAAACTGATAGTGCAGCTGTCATAGATCCTTTGTGAACTGCATAGAACACAGTTTCCCCTTCGTGCCTAAGAAAGTGCCCTAATCACACACCTTATAACACAATGATCATACTGGTCACACTGATCACACCCACCCTAATGACCAGGTTTTAACTTTATTCTCTCTCAAGACCCTGCCTCCAAATGCAGTCACATGCTGAGATGCTGGGGTTTAGGACTTCAGCATACGAATGGGCGCATTCACAGTTCGACTCCTAACAGTACCACACATTAGAGTTTTAGGAAGGTGGTAGAAAAGTGAGTTGAAAAAAAAACCTGTGGGCTGGGGGGGGAGGGACAGTCGTTTGTAGAAATTACAACAAGTCTGGGAAAGATCTAGAATGGATTCAAAGCCAAAGGAGGAGTGATTGATTCATCTGGAGGGGAAACTGAGTATGTTTATAAACCAAGAAGAGGAGGCCAGTGCAGAAGCAGAAGTTAGTATGAGGGAGGAGCCGTGCATACAAGACTTTAATGTTTCTAAAGCCCACCCCAGGCCCCGGCTCACTCTCACTACGTGTCTTGCCGATGGGTCAGGATATAGTGCTCAGCTACTGCTCCAGTACCGTGCCTACCTGACTGCTGCCATGCTCCCCGTGATGCTCATGGACTCGGCCTTTGAAACTGTAAGCCCCCAATAAACCTCTATCACAGTGGTTCTCAACCTTCCTGATGCTAAGACCCTTTAATACAGTTCTGTTGGGGAAGTCCTGTGTATATGTCAATAAAGCACTGTTGGCCAATAGGGAAGCAAGATAGGTGTGATTAGGAGTCCAGGAAGACACTGGGAAGGAGAAACACAGGAAGTCAAGATGTAGCTACCATAGGGGTCAGAAGTCCGGACCCCTTTCTCCGGTAAGAGAAATACTTAGATGGGTTAAATACTTGAGTCAGAGCTAGCCAGTAAGAAACAAGCAAGGCCAACAGCTTCATAATTAATATAGCGTCTTGTGTGTTATTTGGGGACTACAATGCGGCAGAGCCCAGGACCAAAGTGGCTAGCAAGGAAAAGCCTCCCTTTACACAGTTCCTCACGTGGTAGTGACCCCCAGCTGTACAATCAGTCTGCTGCTGTTTCACAACTGTAATTTTGCTACTGTTATGAAGTGTAATGTCAATATCTGATGTGCAGGATACGTGATATGCCACCTCTGAAGGTTGCAACCCACAGGGTCAGAGTCACTTGTCCACAAGTCACCTCGGTTGCAGTGTTTTAATATAACAGAGGGTAACATAAAAAACAAAACCAAAAAATGTCAACTTTCTCGGTGACAGAGGCAATGAGGACCTGAGAGCAGCCATTCATCAGGACTGTTGAGCAGACAGAGGCTGAGTTCTGGGTGCAGATGTGTAGAAGAACAAGAGGAAGCAAGCTAGAGCTGGAGGTAGATTGATCTTACTATTTAGGGTCTAACTTTGGGTTGTCACTGATTTGCATGACTTTGGCTAAATTACCCGATTATCCTTTGTCATGTCACTGTCCTGTGACACAGGGTTAGTAATAGCCACTTTGTATTGACCATATTATTCTGCATGACACATAGGAAAATGGTTACATTTCCCTGGCATTGTTAGAACTCTGCTGCTTGCACTGCCCAACACCTGCGCCTTGGTTTTACCAGGCTGCTTCTAAAGTCTTTCTCGTCTTCTTCCTTATTCAGTGACCTGTAGAGATTTGACAATGGTACTCTATTTCACATTCACAATACACACTGCTGTGTGTATGGGGCTCAGTCCATTGTCTACCCGAAAGGAGCTTAATAAACACATATCTAATGCAATGACCTGCTTATCCTCGGGGCCAGATCATTGTCCCCGTAAACCTTTCATTTGCAATTCTCTTACTCTCCATCCTTTAAGAGGCCTTCTCAGTGTCTTCCCCCACATCAACTCCCCTCTTGTTATGAAGACAATTTCAGATTTGGACCATGTAACTTAGCACCTGATTACATCCCACACTGGTGATGTTCTTTCCATCTTCAGGAAAGACCCTGGTGCCTGTCCTCTGCCGCTGCCAGGGTATCTGGTGGCTCAGTGGACACTGGCACTCCTTCGAAGCAGTTACTTAAATGTGATACCTGCACTTGCCGTCAGGAGCTCTGCCCAGCTTCAAAGATGAGGGCCGCGGTGTTCAGCTTTCAAATAAATCAGCTTAATTCCAGGAAAGGCTGGGTAGCTGCAGCACATTAGAGAGCTAGAACAAGGAGCCTTGATCCGAGGAACACGAAATCTTCTACATAGCAAAGTCATTTCTTAAGAAGGGTGATAAATCCCACTGACGGGAACATTCAGGCCCGTCTCTCCCACAGATCCCGTCCTTCCCCTGAACATAACACCCCTCCACCCCCCTTCACGATAACTGAAGAAGAAACTCTCCAACGGGTTCTTAAATATGTGAGGATCACAGCCCTGGAATCATCTGGTCTACAGTGGTTCGCCGTCGTCTCTTGTTGGACTGCCTGCTCTAAAACCAAGACTTGTGCAGGCGCTCGCCCCTCCTCCTCTGCCACAAGGGGACTTCATGGCAGTTAAATTTCAGCTTCCTTGGCAGCAGCACACGACCTCAAACAGGAGCAACTGCAGAACAGACTGAGAAGAAGGTCCTCTCCGCAAGTTTCCATTGGGTAACGGGAGTGATAAATTAATGTCTCTCTACCATTAGGTAATCTGTGACGTGCTAGATTAATTAAGATCATATTTTATCAGATTGAAGTTTGTATCAGGGCTCTTCCCAGTGGTATAATATAAATTTCACTCAAACTGGCCTAATCCAGAAAGGAAGTCAGGGGTAGTCAGTCCTAACTGGAGAGTCCAGTGGTTTTCAGCTTTAGGTACAGCCTCAGACAAGAGAGAACCTATTGCCTGCTTTTCTTTAATGATAAATTTTTATTTTATTTGCAAATGTGTGTGTCCGCCATGTATATGTGGGTACCTGCAGAGGCCAGAAGAGGGTTCAGTATCCCTTGGAACTGGGGAACAGAACCCAGGTCCGTTGGAAGAGCAGCAAGGGCTCTTAAGCCCTGAGCCATCTCCCCATGCCCCATCACCTGCTTTTTGTAGACAGTTTTAGTGGCACAAAGCCACGTAACATCTTTTATACCATGTCGAGGGCTGCTTTCAAGCCGTAATGCACTGAGACTTAGGGGGAATGAGCTGATATATTTATGATCTGACCTTTTCCAGTAAAAGCTTGCCAGTTCCTGGCTCCAGGGTTTGGATGATGTCGTCAGGATTCTCATGCCATCCATTGACTACAATCTTTCTCCCAGATGACCTCGCTCTTGGCTTCATTCTGTTCTGATATTCCTTCCTGCAAAAAGCCTCAGCTGAAAGATCATTTCTTTTCTGGTAACTCTTTGAGAAGCCCTTGAATTTACTCTCAATTGGCAACTTGAATGAGATACTCATCCTTCGATTGAGGACCCTCAAGGAGGAGAAATTACCCCATATGACTTGGCCTGAATTACCCTTCTATCCCTGGTCGGGTGGGGGCCAGCCATATCCAGGACACATGGACAGAAAATGATGGAGTGGTCCTCCCAAAGGAAAGATGCTAACAAGAAAAAAAAAAAACCAGCATCTCTAGCATGAAACCTCTCCCTTCTCCTCTTGGACAGTTCCCAGGGTGAGTTAATGAAAGCTGTGTGTGATCTCAGAACCAAGGCTGTCCCAGTAATAACAGTGACCCACTATTGATGAGTTTTGATTCCAGACTAGAGTAGGCACTTAATTACATATTATCTTGTTTATGCTCCAAACAACTATAAATCAGGCATTTTAAATTTCTACTCGACCAATGAATACAAATAAGAGGTTTAATAAAAACTTGCCCTAAGGAAGTGGGGGAGGCAAAACTATGAGTAACAGTACAGCTTTATTATGGTGGTTATTATAATTATTAGTAAAGACAGAAGTAAGGCTTTTGAATCAGGTCAACCCCAGATCAAGTTCAGAATCTGTTCTCAACCCCTGGATTCACAGCTCGAGAGTAAATTACAGGAAGGGAGGGATACTATTGACCTTTAACCCTGCTCTAGTCACTGTGTCCTCAGTGGGCACACGGTAGACACCTTAAAAAAGTAACGCTAATGACGTAAATTTGCTAAGCCTGAACTTTAAAAGGTGAGATGGTAAAATACTTACTTCAGGGAAGGAATTAGTGCTACCTCACACAGAGCCCTTAGCTTGGTGCACGGCATTATTACTGGCCCTTAGTTAGCGTCCAAGAAATAGCAACAGTTGCAACTAGTTTTTGCTACACACACACCCTGTAGCTCTGCATACATTGGCTCATCTGATGCTCAGACCCGTCTCCTCTTTACAAGCGAACTGAGTTTCTGTTCTTTTCATTTTGTCACAGAGACTCATGGTGCCTCACGCCCCCCTGACTAGTGACTCCCAACTGTTTCTATGAACTTCAGGGACTCTGGAGGCGTTTCATTCAAGTTCTGTGGAATGATGGCTTCTCCTTTTCTTTTCTACATTATTAGAAGAAATAAAAGCTTCTGTCTTTAAAAACACAAGGAAGACTTTTCTCTAAGTGCGCCCCCGCCATTATTTCCAAAGAGTGAGGCTAGTTTGTAGGAAGTTTTCTTGTCTGGCAGGAGCCTGTAATTCCCAGAGCTCCGACAGTGGGGAACCAGCCAGGCCCTGGCCTCTCCAGACCTCCCTGCTCCCATAGCTCCTTCTTTCCCAGAATTGCCTGCCTGCTGCCATCTGCTGGTCATATGATGTTAAGACAGTCATCTTGCTGATCTCTCTCTCTCTCCCTCTCCCTCTCCCTCTCCCTCTCCCTCTCCCTCTCCCTCTCCCTCTCCCTCTCCCTCTCCCTCTCCCTCTCCCTCTCTCTCTCTCTCTCTCTCTCTCTCTCTCTCTCTCTCTCTCTCTCTTCTTCAAACTTTTATTGATTCTTTGTGGATTTCATATCTTGTATCCTGATCTCACCCATCTCCCTGTCACCTGAATTCTCCGACCTCTGCCCTTGCAACCTCCCTCTCAGAACAAAACAAAAATTTTAAAGAAATACCAAAGGAAAGAAACAAATGGGAAAGAGAGAGGGAGGGAGGGAGGCAAGGAGGGAGGGAGGGAGAGAGGGAGGGAGGGAGAGAGGGAGATACAGAAAGAGAGAGGGGGGAGACTCTCATCGTGAAGCTGCAGTGTGTCACACAGTTCACCCCTAAGTCTTTTCATCTTCACCTGCAAGTGTGCTTTGCCATGAGCAATTCTGTTCTTGCCCTGCGTGGCGGGGACCCTGCAGTTTTGGATCTGTAGATTCGTGTCCTTCACGTGCTCCAACAGTTCATAGATGTTAGGGTGAGCCAACGCATAGCCCTGGCTTGCTGCCCCCTTGCTACCCTCGGCAGGTGAGAGAGCTGGCCCTGCCCTCACCAGCAGCGGCACACAGGAGCGTGACCCCGCACTCCACCACACCACTCAGCACACTAGAGCCAACTCTGGTGGGCGTGGGGGGGGACGGGGGTCAGGTGAGCCAGCCCTGAGGGCGTGAGGGCAGGAGAGCTGACCCCCGCTCCACCCCCACCCCCATGTGCCACCCACAGCCTTCAGGAGAGAGGACCCTGCTACACCTTGCCTGGAGTGAGACAGTGGAGCTGGCCCTGTGGTGTGAGTGTGGTGACCCGGATGTGAGGCCCTGGGAGTAGGAAACCCGGCCCTCTTCTTGCTGCAGGATACATAGGTTGGCTGGACCTTTGCTGCAGGATGCATCCGGTGGGCTGGCCGAGGCAGTGCTGGAGAGCTCCCTCGGGTGGTGACAATGGGTACTACGTTTCTAAACGAGTCTCCTTTCTGCTTTCCACCTTCTGGTAGACAGTGCTTAGCAGACAGGCCAAAACGGGAGAGTCTCTAGGTAAGGAGAACCTCACACCTCACAGCTCAACCCAGGGAAACTCAAACCGTGAGTCCTCCTCTCTGACAAACATGCTCTCTTGTCCAGAGCCACCCATCTCCCACCTAGGGGCAGCCCAGCCACACCAACAGCTTGCACACGCTGTTTTATCATGACAATTACACTGCTTAATTTCTCTTGGGGAGTGGGGACAGTTTCCTGTGGGAAAGTTACTAGGATAATACCAAGAATTCCCCCACGTCCTTCTTCCAGCAAGCCCTCTTAAGTTTCCAGCGGACTCAGCAGCTTTTTATAAGCAGAGGATTCAAGCCAGGGTCACGGGTTCTTCCGCACTGGAACGTTTCTGACTGCTGCTTCTATTCTAGACAGAAGGCTAGGTTATTAATGTTGTAAGCAACTCCGGCCCACGCTGTAGAATGCCTTCAGTCTATGTCTGTGATATTGTCTGACCGGTTTATGCATCACTTGCTAACATGTAAGGGACATGGGGACATTTCACTGCATTGGATCTGGTAACACATCCCGTGTTTCCAATGGTATGGCTTTGGATCACTTTAAAAGGTCTCTCTGTGTGTCTGTAAATGCTACTTGTGTGCCTGACACCCTTGGAGGTCAGAAGAGGTTGTCAGATTCCCCGGGAACTGGAGCTACAGTGTGGATGCTGGGAACAGAACCCTGGGCCATCTGGAAGACCAGTCAGTGCTCTGAACCACTGGGCCTCCCCCTCTCCCTCTCCCTGTTAGCTTGCTTTTTAAAATACAGCCCAGGAAATGGTGTCACAAACAGTGAGCTCTCTAACATCCATTAACATGCACCACGGACATGCCCACAGGCCAGTCTGATCCCATGATCCCTCAGGCCCTCCTGGGAAAACTCCCTTTCCGCCAAGTCCTTCTGCCTGCACTGCTTGGCCTCATCTGGTGTGTGTGTGTGTGTGTGTGTGTGTGTGTGTGTGTGTGTGTGTGTGTGTGTGTTCAGAAGGTTGGGAGAGGGGAAAAGAGGAAGAGGAGAAAGAAAGAACTGCTGTTGTTCAAGGGGAAAGAAAAGGTAGTGTCTGATGTGCTCACTCTCTCTTCTCTGGAGACAGCACGTTCTGGGGGTCCCCCGTGTAGTGCAAGGTCAAGCAAGCCCCTCCAGCCCCCTTTCCTAAGGGCACCCATTGTCTTCGTGAAGGCAAAGACCTTTACTTTTTTAAATTGATTTTATGTGTATGCACGTGCGTGCCTGAGTATGTGTGCACACCACAAGCTTGCAGGAAGTCATGAAAGCCAGGAAGGAGCAGAGGATCCCCTGGAGCCGGAGGTACAAGTATCTCACCGTGAGGGTGCTCAGAACCAAACCAGGGTCCTCTGCCAGGAGAAAGGGGTCCTAAGCCTTGGGGGTTTCATCCAACCAGGCAAAGCCCCTTTGACCTAACCCTTGGGGGTTTCATCCAACCAGGCAAAGCCCCTTCGACCTAACCCTTGGGGGTTTCAGCCAACCAGGCAAAGCCCCTTTGACCTTTGATCTCCTGCTGTCGCCACCCTGGGGGCAGATCTCAACATCTGCATTTGAGGAGCAGGCATTCATTCAGACTCTAGCAGTCACGTGGGTGGGCACATGAGCATTTCTGAGCTTTTCAGTGAGAAAGAACCGTTCCTGAACCTCGCAGTGTGCCGTGAGGCCTGCCTCCACCCCTGTGCGGACTTTTTTCCTAATAGGTGTAATTATTTGGCCCCAATTTCTAGCAGCAAATGTCAACACCAGTCTTCACCCCCACCCCAACATCCCGTCCTAATGCGTCTGTGCCCTCTCCAAATGAAAGGCGTCCTTTTCAGGACCTGATGGAGAGGAACAGCTGGACCCTTTCGGAGGACACATTAGGAAGTGATGGAGCACTCAGAAGCCAGCTGCTGCGCGGATGAAAGTGCTTGCTCAGCACAATGGGCTCCGAGCACAGAAAGACACCAGCCTTTCCTCTCACCCAGAATCCACAGCGGTTCTTTGCAAGAGAAGCCCAAGGGCCACTTCTTGCTATGACTACAGGAGTCAGGGCACCGGCCTGGAGCAGGAAGCTAGCTGTTGCAGGAATTCACAGGCAGCAGTGGCCAGAGCCTGTCTTCCTGCTAGCCCCCCCCCCCCCCCGTGAAGAGGCCCAGAGTGCTTGCTACCGCACCCCACTTTCCTAACCCGGGACCCCCGGCTGTAGCCATGTTTATCTGCTTCTGCAGACCCAGGAAGGAGAAGAGGCATGGAGCTAGTCTTGACGCTTAGAAAAAGCAGTAAACTGGCCTCTTATCCACCTCATCTGCAGCCAGCCTTTCCAACTCTTTGGAATGATCTAGAATGGCTTTAGTGAAAACATCATTGCCCAGCATTTAAGTTTAGGTAGTCAGGTAGTCCATTCAGAGGACTCCTGGTGAGCCCTCTGTGTGTGCACCCAGGGCCCACCATCCCCACTCTAACGCATTATCCTTGGTCTCATCAGAACCACCTATGAATCTTCTAATATCCCCTTATAAGCTGCTCACCAAGGAGAAACATCATCACCACCTGGGCTGTTACCCATGAGCTTTTTAAAAATACTCAGATGATTTAAAATAGGTCACCTTAAACCAAGTATGGTGGTATTTGCCTGTAATTCCAGTGCTTGGGAAGCTGGGGCAAAAAGATCTTGAATTTGAAGACTGGTTTTAGGTACATAGTAAAATCTGTATCAACAACCCAAATGAGTGAATGAATGAATGAATGACTTGGCAGGCCACTCATGGAGCCATGAACGATCATGTTTCCACAGTATCTCACAGTGGAGGACCCAACTCTGGGTTTTCTTTTTTGTAACCATTCATGATTTGTTGATTGAGACATTTATAAAATGCAATTAAGTTTACCAAGAATTATAAAGCAGATCTATAAACATAAATCTATAAATTCTCATTATTAGATTAAAAGACCCTAGCCTGCTATGAAAAGTTCCTTGTCTTTATCTCTGGATATTGTGTAACAGTTTCCTCTGAGACTGAAACATTCTGCCCTGCAGGAAAGCTTCTTAAGCAGGAAGGTAAACAATTTGAAATAGGAGCAGGAAGTCCCTGAAACTGACCAGATTTACTAGGCCCCGCCCTGCCAGAGTAAGCTGTAAAAGCTGGAAGTCCCTCTCAGACATGATGAGCTGCACAGGAAACGATCAGAGGAGAAGAAAGCAGGTTGAGCAAGTCATGAGGAACAAGCCAGTAAGCAGCTCCTCTCCATGGCTTCTGCATCAGTTCCTGCCTCCAGGTTCCTGCCCTGTTTCAGTTCCTGTCCTAACTTCCTTTGGTGATGGAAAGCAATGTGAAAATGTAAGCTGGATAAATCCTTTTCTTCCCCAACTTGCTTTCTGTTCATGGTGTTTCATTGAAACATTAGAAACCCTAACTAAGACATGGGGACTGGTTTTCCTTTTATTTTTGAAAGGCATTTGGAATAAAGTGAACCACCCAGAACAGCCTCCGGAGCACATTTACAGGAGTACACCACTGCATTTGGGTGGTTCCTGCTCTCTGGAATCTGCTTCTCATATTCTTAGAACCATTCACATCCCAAGGGTCACCTGGGTCGGGAATGCTTCCATTTCCCATCATTAGGCTTCCCTGCTGGGTCTCAAACCTGGGACCAATAGCTGAGGTGTCCGTTTGACCTGGCCACCAGGTTCTTCCAGCATTCCACCTGTTACAGGGAGTGGTCGGCACACCCTGCCCTCCACCCTAAACTCCCCGAGCCCAGGCTGCCCTTCTCCCATTTGTCCTGCCCTATGTAACCCAGCCATTTTGGTTACCCAGCCTATTAGGGGTACAGAGGCCCTCGCGCTCACAGAGGAACAGTAACAGCATCGGGTGTTTAATCGCCACCATTGAGAAGAGGCCCCTGTGCATTTAATATTCCTGGTTTCCCCTAAAGATTCTCTGTGAGTACAAGGACCTCTGTGCCCCCAGCATGGGTCCTGTTGCCTCTTGGTCTATACTTTCCGCTCCTGGCCTGTTGGTCTGGCTCTCCCCTTTCTTTTCACGTGGCTCGGCTCAGGGTCACGTGCACTTTGCGAGGTCCCAGCTGTCTCTGCCTCTGGCTGTGTTCTCGAATTTTATCTACAAAAAACGTTCTCCTCCACCATACCTACGAGCAGTCCTATCCTTCCTTTTTATTTCTTTTCTTCACTCACTCATTCATTCATTCATTCATTCATTCATGCATTCATCCATCCCCCCTCTTCCCCAAAAGGAACTAGGGTGCCTCATCACCACATGGCTGCACCATCCTAGCACAACTTCCATGCAGGTGGCCCCACCCTGTGAAGAGGCGGATCTTCTGACACATTTGTGGTAACACATTTGCTGGGCTGGCTACTCTGGCCCTCATTCTTCCGCAGCCCCGTGGGGTACACTGGCTTCCTGCAGCATGACTGCAGGCTAGATTTAGCTAGCCACACCCCAGCAGGAAATGAGTGGTCAGAAGGGGAGAGAAGGCGGGACCGCATTCCAGCACCCAGGGCGATATCTGCACAGCCGGGCTGGCTGCTCACCCAGCCCAGCTGTGCTCATCCTTGAGAACAGGATGCCCAGAGGTCGGAAGTTGCTCTTCACTATCTCAAGCCGAAACCACCCAGGTCCAAAATGGCCACTCAAATGATTTCTGGAAGACCTCAAACTTCATCATCACCCACTTTCACGCTAAGTGACATGCCCCTGGCCACCATCACAGGAAGCCCCAGACGGTGAAGTGTTCTGGGAAAGACCTGCTTATTCCAGGAGAGGGTATAAATATTCCTCCTTCCTCTGGTCTGTCCGCTTCCCCCAGCTCTCTCTCTCTCTCTCTCTCTCTCTCTCTCTCTCTCTCTCTCTCTCTCTCTCTCTCTCTCTCTCTCTCTCTCTCATTTTTTTTCTACCTTATGGTCTGAGAAATTGACTCATGAGCCAGGCTCCCATTTCTGTCTTCAGACACTAATAAATCTGTGTTATTGTCACCCAGGCTCAGTTTTGTGCTTTGGCTCTGTGACACAAAAAGGGAAGTTATTCTTTTGTGCACGCTTCTCTCTCTGTCCTAAAAGAAGACCCCACAAATGATTGCCTTGCTTCTTCTTGCTATGCTGGGGTTTGGGGCATTGCCTGAATTCCTCCATTAGCACAGTTCCTGTGGGCTGGCTTCTCTTCCTAGATTCTACCTGTCTGGGTCCTGCTGACTTGTCTAGTCCGTGCTGTAGAATACTAGAACTTATTCTTCCTATTGAATTTGTAATTTGGCATCCCCTGTTCAACCGCGCTCTCTCTATCCTTCCTAGAGCTCCCTACCCTTCCTAACTAACTCTATTGACCACTATTCTGTTTTCTATGGATATAAACATGAGCTTTGTAGATTCTGTGGTGAGAGAAAACAAGCACTGTTTGTCTTCCTGTGCCCAATTTCACCCATCATAACACCTTCCACGTTCATCCTTGGTTGCTGGGCAACTACTCCTGATAACTCCTAGGTAATGTGCCTATCAGCTCTCGATTGTGAGTCCATTGTAAACTTTAAAGTGATGCATGTTGTCTGGCTGGGAAATAAGGATGGAATAAAACCAGTTAAGAAATAGCACAAGGGAGGCAGAGGCAGGCGGATCTATGTGAGTTCGAGGCCAGGCTGGACAGACAGCCTCCAAAACAATACAGAGAAACCCTGTCTCGTAAAACCAAAGAAATAGCACAAGGATATAGACAGCCCTTCTTGGAATCCTGTGTATTGACTTGCTTCCTCTGGCTTGCTCAGCCACCTTTCTTATACAGGCAGGCCCACCTGCCCGAGTATGGTACCACCCACAGTGGGCCCAACTCTCCTTCTTTAATTAGCAGTCAAGAAAATGCCCTCACAGACAAGCACGCAGGCTGATCTGATAGAGGCAGCTCCTTGACTATAAGTCTCTCCTGCCAAGGTTTGTGATAAAATGACCCGTACAGGTGAAAAACCAACCAGTGCAGATGCTGGGTTAGACCATCTTCTAGGCTGACTTTGGCCCGTGACTTACCACCCAGCATGCTGTCAGTCAGTCTGTTTCCGCGAGGCACTGAGATTCGAAGGCACACTACCTCTCAGAGGGAACAGTCTTGGAAAAGGGTACTTGGGTATGGCAAGAAGCCCTCGACACCTGCAGGAAATGGTGAACAGCACATGTGCAGAAAGAAAAGAGCTGAAGAAGAGGAACAGGAAGCCATAGCCCTGGTTAAACAGCTTTCCCTTGTCCAGTTCTAACCACAGGCCCGTGGGAATCTCACGGGCAGGCCTCCCAAACACCTAGTCCTGGGGTTTAAAACGCTTCCCAGACCCATTCCAGTGAAGAACATTTTATTTGTAGAAGTCTAGTTTCTAGATCTTTCCTTTTCTAAGGTGACAATTTCCTTTCATTATTCCAGTTTTAGCAGTTTTCCCATTACTAATAATTGCATAGACATCGTAAAGCTTTAATTCGTTTTTCCTTTCAAAAGTGGTTTCCATTTAATTGTTCATGTCAGACATAATATTTCTTTAAAATTTATAAAACAATTTTGAGCTGTCAGAAAAAAAGCCTCTTTAAAATTCAGATTATTAATTTACTGCCTGTTCTCCATGTAAATGCATTTTTTAAATCTTTTTTTATCGGTCACCAATGTCATAAAACTATTATACAAGACTTAATATTCAGAAAGTCATGTGGTTTTGCATGGAAGAAATGTTTTCTTCATGCTCTCATCTTCAGTGTGTTGTCTGTCAACCCTTTATGTCTGTTAAGCTTTCTGTTTTGGTTTTTCAAAGACACGATTTCTCTGTGTAACAGTCCTAGCTGTCCTTGAACTCACTCTGTAGACCAGCTGACTTGGAACTCACAGAGATCCACCTGCCTCTGCTTCCCAGGTGCTGGGATTAAAGGTGTGTGCCACCACGCCCAGCTAAACTTTCTTTTATCCTTGGTCCTCGTTACTCTCTCCTTGGATGGAGCTGGTCACTGCCTCCTGTGCACTGGTAACATGCAGGGGTCAGCAGTGTGGCTTTGGAAGCAGGCAGTCCTGGGTCTGCACCTTAGGACGGTATCTCTCCAGTTTAGATGAGTGACCTTGATTAAGAAAAACACTCCAGAAACTCAGGTTCCTGTCACGTCTGCTGCGCGGCCTGTGTCCGAGAACGTGCGGAGGGTGTCGGGTATTGAAAACACAGAGACTCGTTCAATGATATAAAGAAAATTTTAAACAGGCTCCAAAAAGGTTCAAGAAAAACTTCCTAAGAAAGGCTCCCACCAGAGAAGCTTCTGCTCTCTCCTCTACCCTGGCTGGTTCTGCTCTGACCCAGAGGTGGATGTGTGTGGGTTTTTGAAGGTGCGGTTAGTCTCTGGACAAGGTCGAGGTCAGGGCGGTTTCCGTGGGAAGGCCTTTCCCAGGAACTTATTGTATCATTTTTAGTAAACATGTTTTTACTAAACATTGTCTTACAGCTGCCTACTCCCAGGCAGAAGGGGAAGTGGCCAGGAACTTATTGTATCGTTTTTAGTAAATATGTTTTTACTAAACATTGTCTTACAGCTGCCTACTCCCAGGCAGAAGGGGAAGTGGGTCTCTGCTCAAGGTCTGGTGTTCCCACAGGTTCCACTGCAGCTAAAGGGACCAATAACATCTACCTCATGGACAAACTTCAGCCTAAAACCCCAGGTATGACCCACACTAACTACTTCTTAGATTGTACCTTCACATGTGTGCACACACGTCTACACAGGTACACACACTTTATTTATATGGTGACAGTCATTTCCATTACAGGAGCAACTGAGAAAGTGATGATTGGAGACGGAAGTCACCAAGAATTGCCATCCTCATCTATGGATCTGACGTGGACTAGACTGACAGAAAAGTAGAGAAGCTTGCCAACTTGGGTAGATAATGAAGAGTGTAAGATACCGTGAGACACCTATAGGCTGTGTGTTTGTGAGGAGCAACCATGAATGACATCAGTCTCTTTGTAAGAGGAGACAGGATAGCTAGGCATGATGGCACTTTTATGCCAGAACTTGGGAAGCTACAGCAAGACTGTGAGTTCAAGGCCAGCCATTCTCACAGGGAAGAGAGAGAGAGAGAGAGAGAGAGAGAGAGAGAGAGAGAGAGAGAGACAGAGAGACAGAGAGAGAGAGACAGAGACAGAGACAGAGAGAGAGAGAGAGAGAGAGAGAGAGAGAGAGAGAGGAAGGAAGTTGAGAGTTTGTTTTTGTATCACCTACCTCTTGTGTAAAGCTACAAGATGCCCTGTCTACAAACTGGAAGTGGGCCCTACAACGTTGGTCTTGGAACTGTGAGAAGTAAAAGCTTGCTGTTCAAGTCACAAGTCTATGTTCCGTTACTGCAGCCTAACACATGACCAGCACTGTGGACATTATTCCTCAGCCTCTATTCACACTTGGTTAACGACAAATCGGGTTTCCACCAGGCACAGCAAATGTGTGGTTAACTGTTTCTGCACACCTCCCTCATGCTGAGTACGAGAGACAAGCCATGGGCTGAAGCGTGCTGCTGTAGCAGACGCGGCGACCAGGACGCTGAGGGGAAACCTGTGCCGGCTCCCTTTGAGATTCGGGATGGACATGTAGACTTTCTTCATCTGGGATGAGAGTAAGACTGTAACGCTGGGGGCCCCCAGCTGTGACTAGTCCACAGACAGTGTGCTGGAAATGTAAGCGCCCTTGAAGAAGATGGCTTTGTGAAAGGTACTGAGAAACGAAAGATAGCTCAGGTGCTAAAATGCCAACGGTGCTGGGCAGACGTGGAGAAGAGATGTCCCTAGCACAGTGAGTGAAGGCACTCGGGGGAGACGACAAAGCGCTAATGGAAAATGTCATAAACCTGGAACCTATATGGCTTTCTGCTTGAGCTTATGCGGATGCAGCTTCTGCCCCGCCTGGTCCCGCCACCCTTCAGTCCCAAATAAGCACACAGGGGCTTATATTAATTATAAACAGTTTGGCCGATGACTCAGGCTTCTTACCAGCTAGCTCTCTCTTAACTATTAACCCATAACTGCTATTCTACACATTTCTACATGATCTTATCTTACCAGAGCATGCCCTTTGGTGACTACATGGTGCCTCCCTGGCGGATCCTCTTGTATAGCCCCACTTATACTTTCTGCATGGCTACTGGCCAATCAATGTTTTATTCATCAACCAATAAGATATATATATATATATATATATATATGTATATATATATATACAGAAGAACATCCTCCTCAGACTTAGACATCGACAATTTCTGAAGATCATGCTTCCTGAAGAAATGATTCAGGTTGTGCGTTCTAAAGCAAGCTGCAATGTCACCACACCCAGTTCCAGTTAAAAGGCCCAGGTGCAAATCACACTTTTCCAGTGTATTAGACCAGGAACATCCAAGAAGCCCGTGGAAGGGTGCTGAGGAGTCCCAACATTTAGCCTTCCCGGGGACTTCTGAGCAGCAAGGTGTCAAAGGCCCATGAGTCTCTGGGAGTTGTGTATCACAGTGACAAAAGCATCTGCCAGAAACCACAGACAGTGGGAAGACTCAGTTCGGCTCATGGTTTCAGAGGATTTCAGTTCAAAGCTGCCGGAGTCTGTGGCAGAGACACCTTACCTGGTACAGAGCAGGAAGCATAGCATGTCAGGGACCAGGGGCCAGGCTAGAACCCCCAAAGACTTCTGTCAGTCACGCTGCACCTCCACGGTCACCCAAAATAGCACTAGCAGCTAGGGTACAGGCGTTCCAATCTTGAGCCTATAGGGGACATTTTAGTTTCGAACCATAATGCTGTTCAGAACCAGTAACAGACAGCAGGACTGTGGTGTCCAAACATGAAATAGATCCTTAAGGAGGAGAGAAAATGCTGGTTCTGTAAACATGGACCAGGAGTTGGCTGTTCCCACCAGGGCTGAGACTGACATTCAGATGTTGACATTCTAAAACGCAGAGTCCCTGAAACAATGTCTTGCTTAGGAGTCCATTTAACACACTTGGGAAGAGGGAGCCTCAGTTGAAGGACTGGCTCCATCAGAGGGGCTGTGGGCGTGTCTGTAGGAAGCTGTCTTGACTGCTAATGACGTAGGTGACCCTGGGCCGAGGAAGGGCGGTGTTGAAAGCAGGAGTGGGGACAAGCCAGCGAGCAGCTTTGCTCCGTGGTCTCTGCCTCAGTTCTGGTGCCAGGCTCTATTAAGGTCCTGCTGTGGGTTTACTCGACAATGAACTGTAAACTGTAGGCCAAGCAAACCCTCTCCTCTCCTCTCAGCTGCTTTGATCCTTGTCATATCACAACAGAAAGGCAAGGAGGTAGGAGCATCCTAGACCAGGTCAATTTCCAAAGTCTCTCCCAACCCTAAGGTTCTCTGACCCTCTTGTCAACAGCCCCCCTTTAGGTTTGGATACCTGACACGATTTTAGGAGCTCATTCCATGAGACCCAGCAGGAAACCTAACACTTCTTTCACACATAGACACACACAACATAGACATATATCACATCAGCACACACCACATAGGCATACAACCATAGACACACAACCATAGACACATACCACACAGGCATACAACAATAGCAATTGTTTTGGTGGTTATTTGACAAGCTATTTCATAGTGAGTCACAGGAATTTGCTAAGGATATTAAAACAGAAATGCAATTTTCTGTTCTGCCAGACATCACTTAGGACGGAAAGTCTGAGTTGCTCTTGGCAGATGAGAAAGGAAAGAAACGGACTTTGGCGGCATTGTTGAATTATGAATCAAGTCTCAACCTGAAGCTTTTGGACTTTTCAGCGTAAGATTAATAACATTTTGGGTTGGGGAGATGGCTCACTGGAAAGACTGCAGCAGCACAAATGTGAGAACTAGAGTTCAAACCCATAGCAACCAGGCAGAATGAAAGCTGGGCACGCTGTCTGTGCACCTGTAACTTCAGTTCAGGTGGGAGGAGGGTGGGGACAGGATTACTGGGCTCATGGGTCACCAATCTTCTCCAGGGTCAGTGAGGGGCCCTCTCTCAAAGGAACGGGTAAGAGGGATATAGCAGGATATCCAGTGTCCTCCTCTGGCCTCAGAGATAATTGAGATCTCTGCAGAAAAGAGATTTAGAAAAACAAGGATGTAGATGCAGGTCAGACTGGGGTTACAAGCAGGGACGGGAACACTCCTGAGAGCCCGGGGATCCTTTCTTTGCTCCTTGGCTGCTTTTCCTTTTTGCTTTCTGTGACCTAGTGCCCAGTCACCTCAAAAGGAGTATGACTACCCCACAACTCCCTAATTTGTTCATTGAACAAGAGGCTAAATGGCTGCCTTTAACTCCTTATGGCAAATTTCTGGGTTAAGGTAGGCTCCCTGGCCTTCTGGGTTAAGGTAGGCTCCCTAGCCTTCTGGGTTAAAGTAGGCTCCCTGGCCTTCTGGGTTAAGGTAGGCTCCCTGGCCTTCTGGGTTAAGGTAGGCTCCCTGGCCTTCTGGGTTAAGGTAGGCTCCCTGGCCTTCTGGGTTAAGGTAGGCTCCCTGGCCTTCTGGGTTAAGGTAGGCTCCCTAGCCTTCTGGGTTAAGGTAGGCTCTCTAGCCTTCTGGGTTAAAGTAGACTCTCTAGACTTCTGGGTTAAGGTAGACTCTCTAGCCTTCTGGGTTAAGACAGACTCTCTAGCCTTCTGGGTTAAGGTAGACTCTCTAGCCTTCTGGGTTAAAGTAGACTCTCTAGTCTTCTGGGAGGTAGGCTCCCTGGCCTTCTGGGTTAAGGTAGGCTCATTAGCCTCCTTGGAAGATGAGCCCCTTGGCATATCCCTGCTCAGGTTGATATGGTGATAATGGAAATGTGGCTTCTGGCAGGGTGTAATAACTGAACTCTGAGAGGGAGGCAAATGAGACTCAGTTTCTCAAAACAGTGTGGCTCATGTGCTGATTACAGAACCCCAAAGGGGTTATAACTTTAGATTTTAAGGCAAAAAAGCAAGTAAACCAACAACAACTTGCTTAGATGCAAGTCAGAGGACACGCCCTAGAGGACATCACATCTAGTTGGAATTTTGAAGACTAATCATAATGGACAGGTGGAAGAGAGAATGGGAAAGAGAATACTGTTTTTTATTTGTTTCATTTTTTGTTTTTCAATACAGAGAGTTTCTCTTTGGAGCCTGTTCTGGAACTTGCTCTGTAGAACAGGCTGGCCTCAAACTCTCAGGGATCCACCTGTCTCTGCCTCCCCAGTACTGGGATTAAAGGCTTTCACCACCACCACCTGGTGAGAGTACTCTTGTAATGAGGACATAGAGTATGGCATCTGGGGAGATGCGAGGGAAGCCAGTGACAGGAAACATGAGCAGATGGTGCTTGCAAGCCTCACTGTGTCTGGTTTTCACTTCGAGTTCTGAGGGAAAGTGTTAAAACAGTGTGTGTGTGTGTGTGTGTGTGTGTGTGTGTGTGTGAGAGAGAGAGAGAGAGAGAGAGAGAGAGACAGACAGAGAGACAGAGAGACAGAGAGACAGAGAGAGAGGAGGTGTTGGATAAAAATTCATAAAAATTTGTGCTTTGGACCCTTGTAAACAACACTCACAACACCCATGTTCTAGTTATAGGGTGAAGGCCTCGTCTTTACAGTAATCATGTGTCAAGAAAACAAAAGGGAAGGTATTGAACAGTTCCCCATGGAACTGGGGTAGAGATACTTGTGGGTCCACAAGGAATTATATCACCATACCTATGTGGCCCCAGAATGGCCCCAAATGACTCAGGGCACACATAAGATCTGCATCACTGACTACATTCCCCCAGACTCACAGTGGTGTTTTGTAAAAACCAGGACATTTAAGTTTTCTTTTTAATAAATTTGATAGACTGTGTGGTCTTGTAGTAACTTGGGGAAATTTGTACTTTGTAAAAGACACTGCTCAACTGTGAGCAAGTCCAGATGTAAGAAAAACCTCATGTTGGAATATTTGTCCATATTTCTACTCATGTTGCAGAGACCATTTGCCATCTTCTGTAGTTAATAAGAATGTTTTCGGTGGCAAACGTCCCATGTCAGAACCTCCCAAAGTCAGCCGATGATGTTTCTTTTAGAA